ATGATAGCCCATGTCACCTAAAATGAAGTCAACCTACCTAGTATCACAGAGTTCTGTCACAAACTAATACATACTGTAGAAGAGCAAACTACTAAGTTAGAAGTAAAGTATTATACCCATTTACTACCTCCTCTTATAATACAACTTATCAAAAGAAAAAGACAAATGTACAGAGAATACAAAACAGCAGGAAATAATTATGCAAAAAAAGAAATTAACAAACTTAACAAAAACATCCAGTGTATGATACAACAATATAGGGAACACACCTGAGAAATTAATAGGCAAAAAGAAAAAATTACTGGCAAGAAATTAAGAAACTTGCAAATACAAAAGTAACTCGATAAATAACAACTATTTAAAAAAAAGGTCAATTCATTGAATCCCCTGTTGAAAAAGTTTTTGAAGAAGAACTTTTGAAGAACATTTTAAATCCGCATTTGAAGAAACAATAGACAACAACTTTGACATCAATCACAAAGTGATAGAAGAATGATACGAAAACATTAAAAACTAGGCATATATGTTCATGAGGCCATTACTATCGAAGAACATGATTATTTTGAAGTACTTCAGGACGGAAAGAATACAGCGACAGGATATGACAATATAACTAGGACAGTTCTTAGAAATCTATATCTAAAAATCCATCAATACATATTCAAAATATACATATATTGCATAAATGAGCAATATATACCAGATGAATGGAAAACATGGCTGATAATAACAATACCAAAAAAAGATACAGATCACACTAACCCTTCTAACTATAGACCCAAAACATTACTCCTAGTGATTGGAAAGAACTTCGAAAAAATCATAAAAAAAAATATGGAAACTTAAATAGGAAATCTTATACCTAAATACCAGTTTGGTTTCAAGAAAGGCTGCTCATTGCTCAACCCTACATCATCTATCAACTTTAATCAACATTGAAACTAAAAAAAACTTAATTGTGAAAAAACAGCTGTGCTATTCCTTGGTATTAAGAAGGCATTTGACAGTGTCTGGCATAAGGGCCTCCTTTTTAAAATGAACACATTAGGCTGCTCAAAACACCTCACATTAATGGTCCAGAGGTTTCAACATGAAGGTGCTAGACCATTAAAATCAAGATTTTTCTAATAGATGAATAGGCCGAGGCAGTCCCGTTAGTTGGCCATCGAGATGTCCACATCTTACACCTTTTGATTATTTTTTATGGGGTCACCTTAAATCAGAGGTATAACGGGAAAATTAATACCCGTGTATATTTTTAATGCATGTGACAACATTGTAAATAAATCAAGAATGATTGACAAATCAGTAAGAAACTTTTAAAATGTTTTCAGAAGAGTCTAAACATACAAAATATTCGTTTTAAAAATGTACGTTTCTGTTAGTTTGTTCTGTTCATATTTATTGATAAATATTCTAAAATGTGTACTTTCCATTCTAAGGCGGGGGTACAGATGATCAATTTCTTATTGAATAACACACTAGAGTAAAAAAATTAAGATAGATACCTAATTGTTAAAAGTAGGTACAGTTAACTCTAGAATACAATATTGTAAGTGTATTTATCTATAATTTTATAGCAGAAAACGCTATACGATATTTTAGGCAAGAAGAGCAATATAATAATAAAATGGGAATCCGGCACTGGAATTTTTTAAAATTAAAATATGTCTTTAATTAACATAAGAGAATTCAACATTTTATCTAAAAATCTGTAGCGATTCAAAAAATGGCTTACTAAAATTTTGGTAGAGAAACATAAAATACCCTATATCTCAGAAACTATAAGAATACATTCTAAGTATGGGGGTGTTCTTAACTCAGATAAGTGTGTTTTATCACCCATTAAACTATGTCTGTTTAAATCTAGGACACCCTGTATAATCCAGGTATCCTTTACCCATTTGGTGTAGGGATGAATATGTAAACAACTAATTCTTTATTTTTAAATCCATTTTTCATATCTTGTCGCGTTCTTCTGATTTGTACAAAAATTTTCTCATTAAATTATTCCAGTTTTGGTTTGACCGTTCTTTCTTAAATTTTCAATTTACTTTTCCATACTTTACTTACTATTGTAATCAACAATCTTTGTAGGTGTTCCCAAGAATCAAGTAGCCCCTCTTTACCTAACTCTTCACTAACAACTTTGTTTCTCATTCTTTCTTTTTATAATTCCTTTTACTCTCCATTTATTTCGTGCCTAAGTGCTTCTTATTTTAGTTTTTCTCTTTCATTTGTGGCTTACGATTCGCTTTCATTGGTTAAAGTTCGAAATAATGTTTTGTATATTTTTATCATCTTTATTAGTTTCGATATTATCAGCTCTCCTTCTACCCATTTGGTATAGAGGTAAATATGTAAGCGACTAATTCTTTATGATTTTGTTTAATTTTTCATGTTTTGTGCTAACTTCTTTCTAATTTCCTAATTACTTTTCCTACTGTGTTGTTACAAAATTGTTTTGATCGTTCTTTTTTATTTTCATTTTTATTTTATTCTCTCATACTTTACTTACTTCTATTGTATTCACCAGTTTTTGTAAGTGTTCCCACCAACCTGCTTACCTAACTCTTCACTTCTATTTCTATATTTTTTTTGTAATTTCTTTTATATTTCGTTCATTTCACTTCTAAGTGCCCACAATTAGCATTCATTGGTTAGGAAAAGTCTAAATACTGTTTTGTATACATCATATTTATTGGCTTCGTTGTTTTTTTCTTGTTTATAAATCCTTTTAGTGTATAGTATAACTTTATTAGTTTGCTCTATTCTGTTATTTAATTTTATTTTGTGACTACCTGTTTCTTGTAAAGTTACTCATAAAAATGTTTATTCGAAAAGATTTATACTGCTTTCTGTTTTTTAATTCTAATAGACTTTTAAAGTAGTTATTTCTATCTAGTCACAATCTGGGGAATTAAATTAATTGCTCATAAAAGTAGTTAAATCCTCGGAGTAACATTTCTCAACATTAAACCATAAAGTTATGATGATGTGGGCGCCAATGCATGACTGAGTTTCTGTTGTTGACACACTCCACCACCTCTTCAGCTATGAAACTAGCATTTAATAACTACTGTTTAGCCATTTATTATTTATGTCGATGTTTTTTAATAGTGAGTTCATGTTTGAATGGAGTATTATGAAACCCTTTTCGAGCTTCCCTAAGGGTGTTTACCCTTCTGAACTGTATAGTGCGTTTATATTCTAATGGAGTATTTTAAAACCTTTTTGCGAGTTTCCCAGGAGATTTTTATCCTTTTGAATTATATACATGTCGAATATTTCCCGTAAGAAATGCTTAAGCCAGCCGTGATTTAATGGTTTCAAAACTCAAAACACCATTAAATCACTATTTTAGAAAACCAAAAACAGTATTGACAAGTTGTCAAGCAGTGTTAGTTATAAACTACATTATAACACTTTCGAATCGATCTACATATAGGTAGAACCATAAGCCCTCTAGAGACACATATTAAGAAGCACCTCTCTAGGCCTAAAAAGTAAAATGTGGGTCATCAGATTTAATTTAACAACCATAGTTTTTCTCCGACATCTGAAAATTTCGGAAAATGGACCTACTGGAGGATATAGAGATAACTGTTTTAAAATTTAGTTGACAAAATTCTTATCCAAGATATCTTTCTGATTCGTTAATTTGCTTCTCTGACACTTAGAGATAATGTATTTATATTGACTACTTCATATGCAAGGAATTTGAACAAGTTTACTCATCCTATATCAAATTATTTTTACTTACTCACAAAGTAATCGTTTAAGACGAGATTTGTAATTATTTCGGATTTACTGGTATTAATTTTCACGCCAACTTGCATTGGTATTTACCCTTTGCATAATATTAATATTGCGTTAGCTTCGACAATATGGTCAGATATTAACAAAGTTTGATCGGCAGATCTTAGATGGTTGAGATTCTCGCCATTAATTTTCACGCGTTTGAACACATATTCCACCAAGGTGGTAAATTGTTCTGCAATTTATCGAATATCTTAGATTCACGCATGCGGAAAGTTTGCAAATGTTTGCTTTTGCTTCTGCGAGCTGAAATTATCTCCTCATTGATTGTCGATGCAAACAAATGTAAAACCGATTACTTAATTTTACAATTTTATGTGAATTTATATTATTTAATATTATCTTATCCACTGAAAAAAATTTCAAAAAATGGTTCGAGGAACTGTTAAAAACTTTATTTTTTCTGCATTAAAGAAATATTACATTCCCATAACTTTGGGATAGTGGGTTATAGTCATTTAGTTATATAGTCAGTTGTACAGCTAGTTATACAGTCAGTTACACAGTTAGTCATAGTCATTTATTAGTATATTCTAAAGACAATGCTCTCGTTAATTCATGAATTTTGATACAGAAACATGAAATCCTAAAGATTTTAGTTACCGCGATACAACGTCTCCATCGGTGTGCAGCTGCCCAAGGGAACTACTTTGAAGGGGATAACATTTATGTTTGAAAGAAATAAAAACTTGGTAAAGTAAAAAATCAGTCTCATTTTCAGTCACACCTCGTATAAAAGTGCATTTAAATTAAGCCCCATACAGTATTACAAACAATAAATAGAATACCCATATTTGACATGTAATTTTAACTTAATAATACAGAATATAAAATTAAAAATAATATCAGGTTATTTTTATAGCCTGGGGTCAATTTTTTCCAAATATTTACATAATAGACCCCAAATCATTTATACAGTCAGTTATAAAGTCACTTATATAGTCAACGCTTACTCGGAACTTCAATATTTTCAAGATTAACAAAAAGCTTTATTCCTTTTTAGAAATATTTCAAAATTGACAATCATAAAAACTGGATTGTCAACAACCTAAAAATTGAAGAAATCATTACCACGATAACCAATGACCGTCACAATAGTAACAGTAAGAATATTATAATAATTACCTGGAGCTTCTCCATCATAAGACAAATTGGGTATCAACAAAGTTTGTGCATCAACAATTACAATGTTATCAGACGAAATGGAATGAACTCCTTTTAGTGCTTCAATTTTTTGTGGACGAGGATATTCGAAGTTTTTTGCCACTTTCGTATCTCCAAAGTTAACCTGAAACAAAATAAAATGAAATTACTAATGATAATAAAAATAATAATAATAATAATAATAATAATAATAATAATAATAATAATAATAATAATAATAATAATAATAATAATAATAATAATAATAATAATAATAATAATAATAATAATAATAATAATAATAATAATAATAATAATAATAATAATAATAATAATAATAATAATAATAATAATAATAATAATAATAATAATAATAATAATAATAATAATAATAATAATAATAATAATAATAATAATAATAATAATAATAATAATAATAATAATAATAATAATAATAATAATAATAATAATAATAATAATAATAATAATAATAATAATAATAATAATAATAATAATAATAATAATAATAATAATAATAATAATAATAATAATAATAATAATAATAATAATAATAATAATAATAATAATAATAATAATAATAATAATAATAATAATAATAATAATAATAATAATAATAATAATAATAATAATAATAATAATAATAATAATAATAATAATAATAATAATAATAATAATAATAATAATAATAATAATAATAATAATAATAATAATAATAATAATAATAATAATAATAATAATAATAATAATAATAATAATAATAATAATAATAATAATAATAATAATAATAATAATAATAATAATAATAATAATAATAATAATAATAATAATAATAATAATAATAATAATAATAATAATAATAATAATAATAATAATAATAATAATAATAATAATAATAATAATAATAATAATAATAATAATAATAATAATAATAATAATAATAATAATAATAATAATAATAATAATAATAATAATAATAATAATAATAATAATAATAATAATAATAATAATAATAATAATAATAATAATAATAATAATAATAATAATAATAATAATAATAATAATAATAATAATAATAATAATAATAATAATAATAATAATAATAATAATAATAATAATAATAATAATAATAATAATAATAATAATAATAATAATAATAATAATAATAATAATAATAATAATAATAATAATAATAATAATAATAATAATAATAATAATAATAATAATAATAATAATAATAATAATAATAATAATAATAATAATAATAATAATAATAATAATAATAATAATAATAATAATAATAATAATAATAATAATAATAATAATAATAATAATAATAATAATAATAATAATAATAATAATAATAATAATAATAATAATAATAATAATAATAATAATAATAATAATAATAATAATAATAATAATAATAATAATAATAATAATAATAATAATAATAATAATAATAATAATAATAATAATAATAATAATAATCGTAATTAATTAAGAGTATAGTAAAAGAACAACCCGATTAAATAGTGTGCGAAAGAAGATGATTTAGGGCCAGTCTTTTCACCTCTAAGTAAAGTTGAAAGTAACTACTTGCTGATTAAACTATAGGGCTATTGTGTGTTAATCTGTCAAGTAAACCTACATGTAACTTTAGTGATAATCACCATACCGATTGTAGTCCTTATAGAATAATGTGGTGTAATAATAAAAAAATCTACAGATTTAACAACCTATTTTAAAGTTGTCTATAATTTAGAACGACATCTTATCCACCTTTTCTCTTCCCAATATGAAAGGATTCGAATCAACCCTCTACTCTTAACTTCGATATCTCATACTTATATTTGTTTAGAGTTATAAATTTTATTTGATACTTTTATATTTCATTTCAATAGCAACGCGAAGTTTTTACTTAATATTAGATTATTTTTAACTTCAAATTCAATATTAATCACCTTAATAAACCAGACTCAACCATACAATTTGACACCGTCCCAGTCTATTTATATTAATTCTCTTTGAGCCAAACTAAAAGTTCAAAAAGTTTGTGAAGTTCAAAGGGCGTTAGGGAATACAAAATACAAACGGAAAGTCATCCGCCACCTCGATGGTAAGGAGTGGTGGTAAAGTTTGGCAAAAATGAGCTCAGCTCTTCCATAATCTATATGTTAATGACGACCGACATTCGCACTCATTTAAAATTTAAATACGTCTTCTTGTCGTTTGTTTGTTTGCTTGTGAACTTGCCCAAGGTACATGCAGGATCGGGTTCACTAAATAGCACACTATTTTTTTCAAACGGTTGTTTAATGTGTGCGAGAAAGATCCCTTGGAAAGATTTGTTTGTATAAATCTAATATTCATCATCGAGGTATTTTTATAACTAAGAATTGTGTGTAATATTACCAGGTGGAAAAATATTAGTTTTTATTAGTATTTAAATAAATTATCTAAAAAAGTACAAGGTGGTATTTACCCCGATAAACATTATTGTAACCTGCCACTTAAAAAAGTGACTTTAAATATTAAAATGCACCTGTGCACTTCAAATATTCTGCAAATATTTTCGATAAAATGCTGGCGCGACTGCAGCTGAAATGCAATAGTTTTAACTATTCCCCTTAAGTCATTGATTTGTGGGTTAATAGAGTTAGTTTTTTCTTCAAATAAACTTAAAGAAAGAAATCCAGAGTGATTAAATAAGGGGATCTCGGCGGCCAATTTACGTCTTCTCGTTGATAAATTATTTGATTAACAAACCGCCAAAGCAGAAGATGGATTGTATCGTTAGATGTAAGAAATATGACACTTTCTTGTTGAAACCAACCGATTCAACCGATTCAGAGTAGGCCAGAACTTTTTTAAAATGTTTAAAAATTCAAAAATAACAAACTACAGAAATATCAATTAATTTTTATAGATCATAACTAAGTAGGCTCCAGAGCATTCTAAAATAGTAGAATCATTGTCATCGGTTGCCTTGGATATACGCTAGTGCACTGAATACTTTAATATGCTTTTTTGTTGAGGTTTTTCTTTAGAAGCCTCAAGTCTTTTAGAGGCACATTTGCCAAATGCGGTTTTAGATTCTTCGTCTGTAAGTGATTCTGATTAGTTTCTTTTCTTAAGGTTTTATAAAAGGTAATCGAACTTTTTAAGTTTGTACTTCAGTGTTGTAAGTTACTATTTTTATATTCTTTGGTATACCTAAAAATATTTATAAAAATAGCTTAATTAGGCTAAAATAAAAGTATTAACGAGAAAAAATAAATTAACAATATCCTGTAATGGTTTTTTAACAATTTAACATGACTCTGGCCCACTGTGCGAATTTTCTTGCCTTTGAATGCATTTCGTAAACATTTGTAATCTTCGTTTGATATCTAGCTCAATTTATAATAACATCTTTGACAAATTTGTCTTGAAAGAAGTACGCTCCTTATCAATAGGTGTGTGTTGTATGCTTTTCTGTGTCGCATTCTATCTAGACTGTCGCGCTGGCAGATAATGCGCATTGTGTTTTCATAATCTGTTTGACAGAATCTGTATTCAGATTTTTCTGCTAAATCAGTAATGTTCATATTATGTTTGTTGAGTTTACAATGCCAACTATGGCTTTAATGGTCTTTGATCATCAGTTCTGTTGTAATTTTAGGCAACTGCTACTGCTTTTTAATCAACTGTTTTCCTGGCTCGCGTATTTATCCTCTTTCTTTACAATTCAGTTCTTGATGGTTTGTTCTATATTTTGTCCCTGTGGATCGGACAGGCAGAATAGGTTCACCCGGACATTTGTTGGTCCTAAGAAATAATATCATCTAGAAACACCTCTGAGCGATGTTATTAACCAGTTGGGAGTTGGGAGGCATTCTCTAGACACCTTTAGGCGACGTTATCAATCAACAGGATTTTTGACAAGTCGAGAGGTAGTCCTTTAATGCTTTTGGAGAATGCGCAATGGTTTTAATGAGGCCTAAGCGCAGCAAAGCTGAGCTCACTCTCATTTTTTACAAGATGCGTCATATAAGAAAGATCCTCCCATCGAAAAAAATATATTGAGCGCAGCGCCATCTACATATTGACCTGTTTAAAATTAATTTATATCTAAAACTGAAGCTTTTTTAGCGATCTATGAACTGGCTTTTACAGAATTAAAATATCTATTATTACCAAAATATCCGGCCTGGGAGTTTTTATTGGTACACCCTGTATACTGTAATGAGGAGGATACGGTGAAACACACATTTTTCAAATGCAACAGATGGGCAAGATACAGACAAATAATAGGATTATCACTAGAAGCTGAAATAACCCCGGAAAATATTATGTCCAAAGTTATGGCCGACAAAACGAAATGGGCCGAAGGAACAAAAGGAATAATAGAAATTATGAAGTATAAAGAGAAAGAGGAAAGCGACAATCAAGGAAGATAATGTAAAGACTGACAGAGACCAATGAAGCAATGCTCGCAGGAGTTGTACCGGCGTCTCTGTAACGAGGTGGTTTTAGCAGGTAGGCTATCGCTTATAGGTAGAATCCCAGATAGTCTTTGGAAGATTTCATCCTCTTAAAAAAAAAAAAAAAAAAATTAAAAAAGAAATATTCAGAGAATGGAGTTTTCAATCATACATGATAACCTTTGTGTCCGGTACCCAGGTTAGAGTAGCTTTTGTGCCTCGCACACACTATTATCATTAACTTGTTTGGAAGTGACTTACGCATTGCTTGACTGTCGAAGAAAATGGCTATTATGCGATACGTTGCATTGATGTCTCGAGGTTTTTCAGTTTGTTTTTCAGTTTGTTATTCTAATTGGAATAAAAATTATCTGTTTTAGTCTTTACATACCGGTTCCAATCCCTTATTCTGTAATCGAGTCTTCCACTACTTCTGCCTTTACGGGTTCATTAGTTATACAATTTTGCCTGGCTAGTATTATTCCTTTGACATTTTTGTACCTGTCGTAGTTATTCTGTAGCTTACAGACCTGTCTTCTTGTAAACATAATATTTGCAAGTCTTATAGTTTTTTTATGCCATATATGATCATGTTGAAAAAGTTTTTACTGTAATGTTTGTAAAAATCCAAATAATTGTAGATTAATTTTTACTATTTGTA